TTTCACACAACGATGCTGTACCCTGACTGTAGATGTATCAGAAAGATACAAATTGTGATAGGTCTCATTACTAAGACTGTCCGATCCTTCTTTTCAGTCTTCCCGAAGAATGCAAATTTTTCCTAGCCACTTCTTCTTAGGTTTTCTCTTACTTCTTTACAGTTGGTGGCAAAGCAGCTTCATCTTCTCCAACAGCACGACATCTCCTGTTGAATCGTTCGACATGCCTCCGGCGACATTGTTCCGACGATATCAACTCTTCCAAAAGCTGAAACGATCCAATGCAGCCTAATACATCTCCTCTTCACAAGAGTCTTATTGCCAACGATTTTTTTCACAAACAGTAGAGCTGGTTAAGGCGAATTTTTCCATTGATAGGTACAGTCATGGTCCCTGCAAACGATAGGGTGTGTAACGGGGCGTGAATTGGATCCGCTGCCGAGGGGGTCTTTCTTAATGATGCTATCCTGATTCCACAACAACTGACGGAAACGGTGTTCTGGCTACACTCCTATTCACGCCCCTCTACACGCCCGATTATTTGCAGGGATCTGCATGACTATACTGCTGGTTCCTTAATGCCGCGAAGCGGCTCCGTCCGGCTCTATACAGGACTCTGCAATTTCCTCACTTTCTCTTCTACTTTTTTTCAAGACATTGGCGACCAAACGATTTTTGGGTGCCTGCCACACGGGCCTCTTCAGGTTGCCAACAAGCTCATCCCGCTGGTGGTCAGAAGGAATGCCTGCGGGGGTAAACCAATGTAGGGCATTCGGAAGCTCCCCTGTACCACAAATCATTTTTGACCGGGCTCAGATTGTGTGGGAGCAACCTTGAAAGGCGGCAGTCTTTTGGTGTAAGAGGTTCAGTTTCAATCACTTGCACACTCGTTGAGAAGTACCAACACTTCCGTACAAGGCAGCGTTCAGACTTCGCGATGACGATGACGCGCGTCGATGAGCTGCAATCCTCTAGACGCGAACGCAGCCGCAGATGGGAATCAATCGGCGCCGCCTCGGCGGCCGGTGCCGATACCATAACAATGCGTGGGTGTAGGACGTTTGTGCAATGCATTTTTTTCGCACCTCTTCTCTCATGGTGGCAGAGGCGCCTGCGGTGTGACCTCACTTAAACTTGCCTTCGTCGCCTAATGCGACTTGATCGTGCTGAAGCTTCCTCATCACTCGATGTGACCGCTGTTCACACAGTCTTAACATGTTATAACACAGCTGGGATAATAGGAGTATAGAAATGTGAACAATAGCTTCATCAAATGAATATTGAAGTTTCAAACCGATGAGATAAGCGCATTGATTATATCACAATCGAGTAAAATGCTGTCCAAAATCTATACATTGACGCAAGTGTATACAGTTGCCAGGTTAGAGCAAAATAGGAAGAACTTGTGAAACATGCGCAAAAAGTAATACGCGCACATATTATATGCAGCCTAACTAATTCAAAAGCACCGGATTCTGTTTTCTCGCGATTTTCCTTGAATTGATGCACCCGAGATATGCATGTATTACAGACGGCAATGCTTGAGGAGAATGCAATATTAACATAAGCAGTCTCGCAATACACACTACTGACTCTTACAAAAGGAAAAAACATGCGTGAGATTCCGTATAGGTTTTAGTAGCCCACAGAAATATCAACATCGCGCATGACAAAATATGCACCCAGTGAAAGCCTTCAGTCAACGCCATAGCATCACTGACCGATGATATGAAGCATGAAACCAAAGGCGCGATCGGACCAAGTTTTGGCCAGGAGAGCACACCAATGCATTGGACCCTGCAATCAAATCCGTTGGGAGATTAGTACAAGCAAATCAAACTCAAGAGAGGGCTGAATCAGTTTTTTTCTTATGGAATTTGGCGCAGTTCCGTAATTGTAACCCCGACCTTGTCGCCGTTTGCTCTGGAGTGCTAGTCTTGTGCTATTATAGGAGGTGTGACCTTTGTTCCGAACAATTTGAAACGCCACATAGTGGTTTATTCACAGTTCTTTTTCCGCAGCTGTAAGCGTTGGGATACTGGATGAGATCTAAAATAATTAAAAGCGCTGTACCCAGCGTCACACATCAATGAATTGACCGCGCTTAAAGGCAAGGTAATCTACTTATATATATGCGTCATGAAACTGCGAATAGAGAACTCTATATTGCGAGTAGTACGGCAAACGAGTCTGCCGCTAATAGTTTTTTACCTCTGTTCTTCATCGGTTCTGAACTTAATGCTTCACTTTCAGATTTTACACATCTCCGCCACTCTAAGATTTTCGTGACGTTGTATTATAACATGTTATAGCTGGTTGAACAGCGTAATCTATGAGAGCTCAGAAGGCAGCGAGCCAGCAATTAAGTGAGGTCACACCGCAGGCGACTCTGCGACTATGGGAGTAGAGGTGCGAAAAAAGTGCATTGCACAAACGTCACATACCCACAATGCGTTTTTAACCCCCTTTTTTTCCTTGCTACCCCCCGGGTATGTGACAAGAGAATCGTGATTCGTCGCGCTGGTGGGCGTCGCGTGCGACGTCGCGCAAACAAATGACGATGGTTCCAGGTCGTAGATGGCGACAACAGGCAATTCAGAACAGAAAATAGTTATGAATGTCTGCGATGACGGGGTATACGTGGAGTACGATTTCGACAGGTTAACACGTACCACTCCGTCGCACCCATCGCCGTGCTCGGCGGAGCGGCGAATTACGATTCTCTTGCCCGTCTCTCTGTACCCCCATACTCTCTCAATACACTGACAAGCGGCTCTTGTTGTCTCGCGTCTGCGGCTGCGTTCGCGTATATAATCTTGGAGCGCTGTTGCAACTCTGCCGTGGTACAGTGCGCCGCCAGAAGTCCGAAGGCTGCCTTATAACCATAATCCTTGGAAATTTAGATCTGCTCCAGAAAACATTCTTTTTATGTGGCATCCCAAATTGGGGCACTGGATCGCCAATGGGTTGAAATTTTTTTGATTTTTCATGTTTGTTACTCTCATTTAGCTCACTCTTGTACTTGTACATATAGTAAGCATTCATCTGCTGCAGCAAAATGCTTTGCTTGATTTTTGTGGTTTTCTTATGAGGCAGTCAGTGAACGCTGTCTCCCTGGTACTTTGCTTGTTCCAAATGTATCTGCCATGACAAATGCTTTTGTGAAAATAAACGGGCTGTTGGTGGTCGTTGATTGACATTTTTTTTGGTTTTAAAAGGATGAAAGCAGTGCAATGAGCATGGAAAAGCCGTGCTTTCTAGCTAGAGTACTATCTGTAGAGAAATTCTCGATAGGAACAATTGACCCTTACCCAGGAGAAAGGTCGTAACAACAGGTGGGTCAGCAGTGAGAGGAAACATGTTATGGTACTGAGGTAAATTTTCAAGCTTTCATGGAACAATAAGGCTGCGTTCATACTTTGCGTCAGCGTACGGCAGCGTTTCGACCGTGGGCCAGCGTCAGCGACTAGGAAAGTATAGGTATCGATCTAGCGTCCACCAGCGTATGCCAGCGTTTCCACGGGCAACTTGAGCATGGGCAAACCAGCTCGCGCTAGCGCTGCCGCACGCTTGCGTACATCAGATCGATAGCAATGCAGAGGGTGACGGTCCTACAACCACGCGGGTGGGCGGCCGTGTGTCGGTGGAGAGGCTTGAGCGATTATCTTCGTTGCCTCTGCGCTCTCTGAACTCTGCGCTCGAACACACGCCGCCGCACCATCTACTCACTCTTCCGTCTGGACTCTCGCCGATCGATAATTGCTGACGCTCCAGTCAGCTGATTTCTGCGGTATTTTGCTATATTTCTGCTGTATTCAGCTTGTAAAAGCTGAAATTACTATTTTTTCGACTGCAATTCGGAAAGGCGAGTATGTTTGCTGAGACTCGATCACACTTTGGCTTCAAAGGCAATTCCCGCGACCACACTTCATAGGTAATACAGTTCAAAAATAGAATTGCCCTGTGTTTGTTGACTTATTGAAGAGAAGGAAGCACGAAAAAGCGCCCGGAATAAGACCCTCTTTATTGCAATTGATCATGATCACCGGACGAGCGTAAGGTGGTCAAGATCAATTGTGAATTGCGAAAGGCGGCGATACAAGAGACGAGAGAGGCCAGAAAACGACGGGCGAGAGAGCGCAATGGCAGTCTCACAACGACACGGTCACTGGAGGCCGGCATGGGCCTATCGGGCGCAAATGGGCCTAAAACCTGAGCGCCCTGCGTTTTGCTTGCTGTTTTTCAACTTTTAAAAGCAGCATAGCCTCTGACGTTGCCTGCTTGACCATCGTGCACGGTTATGAGAACCTAGCCTTAGTTTAGCGCGTAACGCGCCTTTGATCATGAATTTCCTTTGAAAAATAGGTAGCACTATTTACCCTTTACTGCCCGACCATCCGGAATTGAGGTTTTGACCGACTTCTCTCCCCATGGCTAGATTTGGCTCAAATGTTGTTTCCTGACGTAGTTTGACCTCCTGAATACGAATCTCACACTCGCTTAACACAAAACTCCTTGGCGTCGGTGATTTGGGACATTTTGGCGTCAGCGCCTGTGGAGCGGGCATCAGGAGGTTTCAGGCCGAGCGCATGTGTTTAGGGGGTCATACTCCCAGGGAACAAATTTTCAGCGCAGTTCGCCCACGGATAAAAAGTCGGTTCGAATAAGACGTCAAATTTGGATTATTGGGGGCAGGGCACAGCATTCGATGGGGATTTTGGTCGAGCCTGTACGACCCCCCCCCCTTTTTTTTGGGGGTTCGGTACGACCCCCCCCCTTTTTTTGCCGTTCGGTTTTTTTCGCCTTAAATGAAACTATGAAACACAAACGCCACTATTGGAACTTCTACTTGTTATGAAGTGCGCGAGAAATGGGACGACTTGATGTACATCGACACTAATAGAACAAACAGAGATTAGATGCAACGGGAGAAAGACGGTACAATGCGTATTAGGTGAGGAACTCGTAGATATGAACTTCTTCGATGGCCGTTTTGAAACACACATGGTAATAATAACGATCGCGATTAAATTCAATGAGCATTCGTTAACCTGAGGTGGACTCCCTCTCTGGGAGCGGCCATCAGCGACCACAGTGTTAACAACGTCTATTCCCAAGATTGAGGACGAGGAAAAGAGAAAGTTAGGCTGTATCACTACGTAACAGTTATACAAACCGCCGTAAAAATGCATTACCCCGATTATTGGAGTACGGTAGCAGAAGCGCATGTAATTGCAGATGTGACCGCAGATCGTTCGGCAAAATTTTAGCCAATGGGCGAGAATTTCAGCG